CAACACTTGTCAATAAACAACTCCAAGGATAAAAAAACTCCTAATTCTCAAGAATCCTGATTCAAGACTTTCCCGGGCAACCCACTGATTAGCCTCTGTCTCAATATAGAGTGCAATAACTGAAAGAAACAACGACTGAACAAAGGGAACCCATCTCAGCAGAGACCTCATATCCAAAACCTTAATTCAACCACTTTTAAAACTTCTGAAATCCAACCCTAATTCCTGGGTAAAATAAAACAAACAAAAGCTAATGAACCGGTTAGTCATGCAAAATGATTGACCTAGAATGATATGCACAAGATCAAAAAAATCTGAGGATAAAATTTGGGGTATGACAACTGACATGGCCCAATCTCATGTGTCAAATTTCTATTTTCGATAACGGTTTTATGGATGCAACATTTGTCGAACCACTTACAACTTCAGTCTCAAGGGTATACAAGCCTTGTTTCTTCACGTGTCTTAAGACTTCCTTCGACCCCTTCATGACTCTTAGGATACTTTTCTCTCCTTAAAAAATATATCTCTTCCTATCAAATTCACCAAGAGAAAAATATAACTTTATTGACTCATCATGGAGCTCGAATCTCACAGATCCAATACCTACAATTTTGCAAGATTTGTTGTTTCTTAGTAGCAATGATCCATCATCTTTATCACATAGCTCCTCGAACAATTCTCTATTTAGAGTCATATTCCAAATGCAACCTAAATCCATAATCCATTCCTTTCTTGAGTTGCCACTTGAAACCACAAGAACATCAGATGATTCGAAGTCATCTTGAACAATGGTTGTGTTGCCATTACCTTTACATCTATGATCTTTCGGGTATTCATGGCATACTTTTCTTGTGTGACTCTCCTTCTTACCGTCATAACATTGAATACCAGATGCCTTGCCACTACAAGACTTCTGTTGACTTTTACCTTTTTTTCTTGTTGAACTTACCACCCTTTCGCAAGAATTTTCCCTTAACGGCCAAACCTTCACCAACTGTCGAAGGTTTATGCTCCTTTCGTTCATTCAAGTCCTTAGAATACAAGGCTGATTGAACTTCTTCAAAGCTCAGGGTTTCCCTTCCATACAGGAGAGTTTCTTTGAAGTGAGCACATGTTCTGGGCAAAGCACACAACAACAACAGTGCTTAATCTTCATGTCAATATTTTCAAGATCAAGAACCAGCTTGTTGAACATATTCAACTACTCAGCCAACACTTTGTCTTCACTCATCTTGAATGAATACAAAGCTTGCTTTAGGTAGAGTCGATTCACTAGAGATTTGGTAATGTACAATGTAACAGTCCAATTTTCAATAATTAATTATTTATATTAATTAATTGATTTATTTGGATGATTTTAATTATTGGAATTATTGGTAGATATTTGAGAGGAGAAATATGATGGAAGGAAATAGAATAGAAAGGCATATAAGGAAAAGTGGAAGGAAAAGGAAAGAATAGAAACATAAGAGAAAGAGAAGAGAAAGAAAGAGAAAGAGAAGGAAAAGAAGGAAAAGCTCAAGAACAACTTCTAGCTTCGATTTAATCAAGGTAAGAGTGTGAAATATCATTATCTTGTCAATGTGTATGATTATGTATGTGTGTGTTTGGATTTGTTAGAGGTTTTCCATCTTTTTCCATTCTAGGGCAGAAATAGATTTAATCGATAGAGTCGATGTTTGAACGGTTAAAATCTGGAATAAATGGTGTAGATTAGTCGATAAATGTTAGGCTAAGACTACTGGAATTCTTTGTAATTGAATCGGGTGATTTGGGAGCTTCTGATGAATTTTGGACAGTTGGGGTTTTGAACATCGCAGACGTTCGCTAGCACCTTCGCTAGGCGAGCAAGTCGCGAGTGTTCGCTGTGGCGAGCTAGTAGCGAGTGGTCCCAGACTTGGACATAATGTAATTGACCCTCTTCGCTGGTAGCGAGTGAGGTAGCGAGGGGTTCGGTAGGCGAAGCCCCAGCGAGTAGGTAGCGAAGCCTTACAGTAGCTTTTGTTTGCCTTCGCGAGCTTGTTTGCTAGGCGAACAGGTAGCGAGTGTTCGCTAAGAACTCGCTAGGTGAGCAAGCCAGCGAGCGTGACATCATTCTTATTTTTTTGTGTTTTCCATCCAATGTTGATTGTTTGGTTCAATTGTGTTCCATCCTTATCGGAAATAAATATTTTGTGTACTGTTGTGATATGTTATGTTGTGGGTAGCCGTATGGCGTGAATCCTAGATTGTGGAATCGATTTGTGAATCGTGGCCTTTTGGTATATATAATGCATTGTTTAAATTGATTAAAAATGCATGATAATTTGTGATGAAGTTTGTTGCCGTTTGGCAGGATGATGTGAATGCATATTGATTGTATGCAATATTGTGAATAATGCATAAGAACATATTGTGAATATGTGTGCATTGCTTGATAAGTGTGATGATGTTGAAAGTATGAATACTTTGATATGATGTGTGAGTGTGCAATCATGTTATAATTCTTGTGTGATGAATTATTTGAATATGCATGGGATTAAGATGCGAGAACGGTCTTAAGTGCATATGATTGTTGATTGCATACGCATCATTTAGTCAAGAGGCAATGCTTGCTAGTCTCGTGGAGGCTAGTGACTTGTCCCAAACCTAGAGCGGGGTTTGAAAGCTTAGGGAATGGGCTTTTGTTGTTATCGGTCTAGGGAACTGACCCGGTTTAAATGTAAAAACCGAAAAATGATAACAAGTGTTGGTACCACATGGCATGAGTTGCATTGAGTCACATGGCATAGATATCTTTGTTATATGAAAGTATGATTGTGTATGAATTGTTGAATTGAGGATTATGGATGTGTGCATGATGAAACATATTCGGTGATTATCCATATTTGTTGATACATATATTGTGATGTATATGATGATGATAATGAATTGTGGTGAGAAATGCGGAATATGTGTATTCTATGCTTGTATATATGTATAATTATATGCATTGATTATTATGATAATATTTTTCACTCTTCTGCTGTTTATAATGCTCTATGAGGCATTGCAGATTAGGTTTGCTAGAGGTCTTTTGTGAAGTATAGCTTCATTCTTTTGGTCGGTTAGCTCTGATATGTAGCACCGGGTAGTTAAGATTGTATAGTATTCTTTTGGGATACATTTCGTATATGTATCTGCTGACAAATATTTATGTAAACATGAATGATGTGGTGAATCAAACTGGATGATATGTATTTATATGATTACATGTTTAGAATGATTCAATGTTTAGATTTCCTGCTTTTAATTCTAAATATTAAGATGTGGGTGTAAGGACTAAGTTTCTCTGTTGAAAGCTACCCCACTGTTGCATGTCTTTTATAGAGCAGGAATTTTGTATGTGATGTTACATGCCTCTTTTATACCATGTTTTAATAATACTCTGATGAAATTTTATTATGTGCTTAAATGATTTATTGTTTATTTGGGGGTATAGAAGGGGGGTTACATCCAAACTTTCAAGTTTCAACCATAACCCCGATGTCGTAGTCTCCTTTGATACTTGTCGAAGAACCTTATCACCAAGGCTCAACAATATTGCGTTGTGGGATTTCTCTATCATGTTCGTCTTTTCTTTTTCTGTTAACGCAGTGTCCCTGGCTGCCTTTCCCTTCAACGCTTCTAAATAACCTTGCTGAACCAGTAGAGCCTTCTTCTTCAAGCGCCACATACCGAAGTCGCTCACTCCGGTGAACTTTTCAATCTCATACTTTGTTGAAGGCATCTTCTTCATGCTCACCGCACCAATTTGTTGCGAATTAGGATGCCTTAAAACAAAATATACTCAGTTTCTTTATGATCAAGAAACACACAAAGGTTAGGGTTATGGAAAAACAAGGAGAATAACAACGATTGATTATAATTGATATTTTTTACTTTCTCTATAAAACAAATTACTAGTACTCAAGAATAACAAATAGCTCTCCCACCCTAATTAGGTGTTGTCACACCACCCTTAAGATGAGAGACTAGTATGTTATTTATAATAAAACTTAACATATTAAACTAATGAGCTTTTTAATAATTACCCATTACAAGTTAACTTAGGGTACAAGCTAACTTAAACAATTGAATTCTTAACACAAGGTATAATTCGACAATTACATACTAGAACACAATTCGACTACAACATGTAGGTCTTCGACAACAGTATGTGAGCAAACTTCGACGACCTGCTAAATAGAGTTCAACTCAATATTTCACAAATAGAATCAAAAGAAGAAAGAGAAATAAATAGTTAAAGGTATATTAAAAAAATGTCATTAATATTATATTGAAATTGTAAAATAACTTATAATTTGAGACAAATATCTTTTATAAAGTGAGTTATAATTTAGGACAAAGATAATACTTTATAGCACGATGATATTTAGCACTATTTTTTTTTAAAAAGAATTATGGAATGTCTGCGAAAGTGTATTTAATAAATATTATGAAAATAGATAAGGTACTCCATATAGATAAAACTAAATTAGTACAACTTTAAATTTGAAAAAAATTTCTTTAAAAGAATATTCGAAAGTGTATTGTATTTAGAGGGATTAATTTATAAAAATTTGCTGACTGAAATAGTATGCCATTTGTTTGAACAAATGTAACTGTGGTGCACGGCTTTGCATGCATAATACATTAATTAAATCTAACTAATTAAAAAGCGAGCACATCATGAAAGATTCTAAAGAAGAAAGTGAAAAAGAATCAGAATAAAGAAAAATCTAAAAAGGGAGAAAAGTATTGTGCGTCCAAGCATGGAATGCATTCACAATTTATCTTCCTCCAAAGCTGCGAATTATTTACGACTTTTTCATTAAAGTTTGAACTTCAACACACTTTAATTTCTTTACAGTATGGGTTTTGTCTCCCCTTTTTTCCACTTTTCTTTCTCTACTCCCACTCTTTCCATTTCAATTCAACCTTTCTCTCTCATTTTCTTTCTCCTACTAAACTCACCTCAATAACAAACAAATTTCCCAATGGGTTATCTTTTCTGCAATGCAGAGTCTGCAATTGCTACATGCGATCCACACTATTGGGATCTCAAAAAAAGAAACAAATCAATAACAAATGGTACTCACACTATCAAGGAGTTTCTCTACATCGACCTCGTCGCCGCCACAAACGGTTTCTCCGATGATAGCTACTTAGGTAAAGGAAGCCACGGCAGAGTTTACAGAGCAAAGTTAAACGGCGGCAATCTGGTTGTTGCCGTTAAAACAACGAAGCAAACTACAAAGATTACACATAGCCACGCCGTGACCTGCACCGGTTGCGGTAACTGTACGAGTCCTGCTGAGAATGAGATCGAGATTCTTTCTCAAGTTCCAAGTCCTCGCCTCGTGAATCTCATCGGTTACTGCACCGACCCAAACGGCAATAAATTAATTGTCGTTGAATACATGCCTAACGGTTCGCTTCATGATTTATTACATTCCGCGTCTAAACCGCCCGGTTGGACCAGACGAGTCCGGTTCGCATTGCAAGTTGCAAAAGCGGTTCGAACCTTGCACGGTTCTAACCCTCCAGTGATCCACCGTGATATTAAATCCTCCAACGTTTTAATCGATCAGGATTGGAAAGCAAGACTCGGTGACTTCGGTTTAGCACTTCGAGGACACGTGGAAGACGTTCGCGTTAAGTGTACGCCACCTGCGGGGACGTTAGGGTACCTCGATCCATGCTATCTTGCGCCGGGGGATCTTAGTGCGAAGAGTGATGTCTTCAGTTTTGGGATCTTGTTGTTGGAGATAATCAGTGGAAGAAATGCTATTGATGTTAATTATAGTCCTCCTTCGGTTGTTGACTGGGCGGTGCCTTTAATTAGAAGAGGCGACTTCGCCGGAATCTGTGATCGGAGAATAGGAACCCCGTCGGATATGTCGGTGATGCGGCAGATTGCGGTGCTTGCGGCTAGATGTGTTAGATCGACAGCGGAGAAACGGCCGGCGATGGTGGAGGTTGTGGAGTGTCTTAAACTGGCTGGGAAGAAGATTCAGTCGTCGCCGATTTGGAATAGTTTCAGGTGGCGCGTGACACGAGTGGAGAGTGCGCAACCGTTGATGAAGTGGGAAGCGTATGATCAAGATTACGATCCAGATTATGATTATAATTATGATTATGATTATCATAATGATTGTAATGATTGGGATAATAAGAGTGATGAGGTTGTTGTGAAAATCATAAAGAGTGGGAGTAGTAGCAGAAGGAAGAGTAAAGTATCCAGTGTAGCGAGTGCAGAGTCTGTGAGTAAACACTCCAAGAAAGTGGCGAGATCTAAGCCGTCAAAAAAAGTAACTAGATCTAAAACCGTTGGTTCTTCTTCTGGTTTTGCTAGTAGCTGTAGCAGGAAGAGTGGGATTCAAATTCAAATAGTTTCAGAGAAAACGCGTGCAATGAAGCTGAAAAAGTCAAAGTCAACGGGGATGTTGCAAGAACCTCATTTGGGTGAGACTGAGACGATAGCATTAACCATGTCAAAGTTGGTTATTAGAGATAATAAGAAGTTGGAAAAGAAGATGCTTGAAAAACCGTTGGTTTACTCGCATGGTTGGGAGTCTGAATAACTCCTGCAAAACAGAGAATCATTTTTTTTTACCATCATAATATCTTCGAGAAAAATGAAAGAATTTGTTGTTTATTTAATAAAACTATTTTTTGTATTTTGAAATGAATAGCGACAGATAAATGAGTAGTTATAGTAGTTATTGTATTACTATATAGTTTGTCGAGGCTTGAAATTGCAAGTACATTTGTCTTCTTAGAAAAAGCTGGAAGGAACTTCCATCGTTTTGCATATGGACACTATTTATTTTCTTGCCGACTAGGCAAAATTTTTGAATACGGCCATTAGTCACTTTCTTGTCCAGTCTAAACTTTTTCAATATTAGTCAATGTTAAGGGTAGGAATCTACATGACCCAACCTGACCGAATACATGTTTTTATTTAAATTATTTTTGATTGTATTTATACTATTTTGATTTGTATTAATTTATGTTTCTATGCTTTATACTTTAATGTTCAATTTTAGAAATTTAATTTGCATAAGCTTGTTAATCTTTTCTCTTGCAACTTTAATATTTCCTTCTAAGTTTTGGTTATATTTTTTGCGCCACTCTTTTAATTTGATCTTGACCATTTTTAACATTTTCTTCAAGACGAACATACCTCATCTCTCCACTTTTATATTAAGTTATTGTTCTTTTACAAAGCTGAGAGATAATCCTTAATATTTATCAAGCAGTTTAAAATTCGAAAAGATTTTGGTTCCATTTTTGCATTAAAACACTTAAACTTAACATAATGGAACAGTGATATGATGTATGATAACCCCTTGTCTAAAGCTCATTGAGTGTAGGTGGGCTGAGCCACTCTTTTGATATTAGAAATTTGTACAAACAACTCATTGGAAAGAAGAGGAACAACTGGATGCTGGAACAAATAAACTATCTTGAAGAAGAATGAATATGATGATTTATGAGGAAAAACTTTTATTGAGATGGATTACCATACTACAAGCCGACTACATCTATTATACATGATAACCAACTATTGTTAGTCATTTCTAACAAACTCAATTTGTCTAACAACTTATATCTAACTAACTAACCACCTTGCCTAGCAAATAACCAATTACTTGTGTTAACAAGTAAAACAACCAAACATTTATTAACTAAACAACACTCCACCTTATTCATGTTCTTAAAGCTTATTTCTATAAACTTCTTTAATTTCTCAAACCTTTCTTTCTTCAAAGGTTTGGTAAAAATATCAACAAATTGCAATTCTAATTTGCAATATTCTAGTTTAAGCTTTTTCTTATTTACTTGATCTATAAATGATATCTCCTTTCTTTATTTTTACTCCTGCCATGATTTATAGAACGATTGGCTAGATCTATTGTTGACTTGTTGTCAACCAGGAGCTTCATCTTGTTATGTTCAATGACCTTCAATTCTTCCACCACCATTCCTATCCATAAGGCTTGACATGCTGCTGTTAGCCTAGAATTTTGGTTTAGTATATTGGCATAAAGGTGTAATATAAAAGGTATGAGTTTGTTAAGTATAAAATAACATAACTATGGTTTCAATATTTAATAACTCCGACTAAAGGGGTGAATTGACTCGTTTATCAAATGTTTTGCGACTTAGTCTATTTTTTAGTTCAAGATTTAGATAACCTAAAAAGCTACCAAGCATGGTTTGGAGGAATCTCATAAACAAATCCACAAGATTATGATCACTCAAGTTTAAAATCTCAAAAAAGGTTATGATGATTTGACATATTTGATTGAAGTGGAAATAAGATAAATTCATAAGATAAGTACAAGCAACTAAATCATTCCAACGCTATGCTCCAAGGTTCGATAGAAGAAACTTTTGATAGAAGAAGTTAGGAGGTTTAAAAGAGCAGTTCAAAAGAGTTCAAATGTCGAAGACGCGTGGAAGCAAACTGGATCGCTGAAGCCCACATAAGGGAGTACGTGTCAATTTTTGCGAAGATAACCGTTATCGACAGGTAACATTGTAATAGTATATAAGACGAGTTCAATCATGTAAACAAAGGTCGCAAAATTCATTAATTATTCTCTATAGAACTTAAGTATCCAAGTCACAAAGAGAAAAGAGTTTGTGATAAGATATATGAATCAATATCCTTTCATTTAATCCTTTAAATTTGAAGCATTTATTTAAATGATTTTTAGTATGTTCTTTGTTTATTCCTCATTTCCAAAGCAATTATGCATTATTCCAGTTAGAGTTTATGTCAAAACTTTCAATATTCAAACATCAAAGTTTCAAGCACAAACACTTTTTTGTTATATTAGTTTGCAAAATATGTCCTAGGATTTTTTCAAGTTTAATCTTGTAAATGAACGAAAACATGTGATTTAATATACTAAATATACTAGTAAACCACTTAGCACGCCCAGTGGAACCCTTTTGTGCATGAAACGTAAACTTTTATAGAAAAGTGTTCCATGTTCTTATTATTTGTTTTGTTCTTCATGAAATATTTTAAATGTCTGAGTGTTTATGCGTCTGAGGAGTGGTAACACTCTTGTTAAAATGACACCTCCAAAAAACTCTTCCATTCCCCAAAACAATGTTTAAATACTTAAGAGCAACCAACTGAATCGACGGTTAGTGATGCAGGGACTTCAACAACCGTTGAAGTAACCATTCCTATTGTAAATCAAATGTCAGTTTCGAAGACATTACCAACAGTGGTGGTTCCCCGCCACAAGTAACAAGCATTTCAACTATCCTCAGGGTCACTCAAACGATCATAGGAGACCCTATGTCTCATTTCCTTCTAAGTTTCATGCTACTCTGATAGTAGGGAATATCCTCATGGCTTGATAACTACAGTGGTTGCAGACCTAGAAATTAACACATTTACATATGCAGATAATGTAATGACTATTGCATCTCCTCTTAATTCATACTTAACATCAAGATATACTATAACCAATCCTAGTCGAATGGTGCAACCACAAGGGGGTTAGGATATATCCCTCAAGTTATGCCACCCTTAACTAATAGTTACATCATGTTTGTGAGACAACAATTTGATGAAAGTAACCATGAGATGGTGAACATGCTTACATAGAAAATTGGTATTGTTTTTAATCCTTTGATCCAAAACAAAAACCATACTTACTAAAAATTGGCGCATCAAATAGGTCGAATTGTTGATTTCTTTGGTGCTCCCCAAGTGCATATTCATCCAATCTCTCAAGTCTAGGCAGTTCGGGCAATTCAAAACCCAAGAATTGCAAACAATGAATGACACGATAATATTGAAGTGCAACAACAGGTGATGCCTCATCCATTCTAACAACCTTTACCTAGAGTAGTCAAAAGAGGTATAGGTTAAAATGGCCCGGAGGTGATATTGGTCAATAGAAACCAGGATGCGAGCCAAGTGATAAGGAGAGTCCAACAAAATAATTTTGGCGGCAAAATAACATAGCCAATATGGTTGATAAAATCTTAGCCCAGAATGGCCTTTATGTCGGCGTTCATAAACCAAACTTTGTTTCTTCCTTGTCTGAGTAGGTGTTGCTGACTAAACTCCCCATGTGTTGGAAAATCCATAACTTGTAACACCCTTTTCTACCCCACAAATATAATGGCAAATCAATTATATTTATCATAGTAAAATATTGAACGCAATAAAATCGTCATAAAAGGGCGCACATTTCTCAATAATTCAAATATAGTCAATGTTCCGTAAACAACGGGTTTTCCCAAAGTTACTCAAAAATATTACTTAAAAGGCAGCGGAACTCAAAAAGGAAAATCCAAAGTTTTCCTTGCGCCGCAAGGCAATCAACATAACAAAAACTCAATAAAATATAGTTTGACTCAAAGACCCCTACTCGATGTTACACTATCAGAGCAAGACCCTCTAAGTCAACCACAATGGTCAACGATCCAAAAACTTCAAAAGTCCTCGACGACATCCACGGCTAAACCTGGTCATCTGCACGTTACCCACGTGGAGGCAACATTCAAACAAGCAGGTGAGTAAAAAATTCATAATAATCAATATAGGAATCAATATATAAAATGGTGTCATTTTCATATTCAACATCATCCTAATCATCAAGGAACATCAAAAGCCACAACATTATAAATTACATCAAAATATCACATAAATGCAAATGAAACAAGACTCATGTATGTGGTACCAATCAACATAATTCGATGGACACTGGGCAATTAACCCTCCATAGATCCACAACAGTAGGATCGATTCTATTTGAGAACCGGAGCACAACAAAATACCTCACATCCGCACAATGGGACTGAAGCCACAAAATCAAGGTCCTGAACCGAAGTCCGGATGCATATGAATGCATGATGCACACATTAATATAATCCTCATAATAATCTCATTAGGTGCATCATCATTCATCAAAGTCATCATAATAATCATGTCATCATAAATTCATCATAACTCATGAAATCAACAACATAACTTATAGTAATCATCATTACAATCATGTACCAAAACACATAGAAATCATAGTCATATCCATTGTAATTCATCAAAGAAATCACTATCAAAACATCAAGACATCACTGCACAAGATCAGAATTCGCGAAACTCTGCTACGTTCACTAGCAAGTTCGCTGTGCGAATCTGGGGAAAATGTTCGCCGTGCGAATGATTCTTTGTTGTACAAACTCGCGATTACATCAAACCACTGTTACGCACCAGCACCAACACCAGACCAAAAACCTCTACGATTTCCTTCCCAAATACCCTAAAAACATCCCTAAATCATTCCTAAGGTATTACGGGGATAAAGGCACAAAATCTACAACTTATTAGGCCAATCCCGTATCATATTTACGCCTTCAATTCCTATAGTTTCTTACAACTACATCACAGTCATTAGAGTTCTCACTATCCAATTACCCTAAAGGGTTGAAACCTCAACAACGAATTTTGGCCACGAAGGCCTAATTTCCTTTATCTCAAATTAGTCTCAAACCTATCAGACCATCAGTTCAAATCCCTATACGGTTAAAACCTCAACAATAGATTTTG